CATTAAGGGGTACTTGCTGTTTATCCCTGGTGAGTGAATTCACTCTCTGGCAATAAAAATAAATAGAAAGAAAGAAAGAAAAAAGAGAAAGAAGAAAGAAAGAAAAGAATCTTTAAAAAATTATTGAAACTTTGTCATGGCCTGACATATGGTCTATCCTGGAGAATTTTCTGTGTGCACTTGAGACTATGTAGTTTTTTGTTTTGGGGTTGTCTGTTCTGTAGATGTCTATTTGTTTTATATTATTATTCAAGTCTTATATTTCCTTATTGCTGTCCTGTCAAGTCTTTCTATAATTACTGAAAATGGACTATTGAAGTACTCAACCTCAATATCATTGTAGAACTGCTATCTTTCCCCTCAATTCTGTCCATTTACACATGTATTTTGGGGCTCTGTTGTTAGGTGCATGCATGTTTATAATTGATATATCTTCTTTATTTTTTCAGAAGTTTTTGCACATGTACTCACTGGAGAGAGACAGAGACAGTGAGAGGGAAAGTGAAAAATCATTCCCCAGGGGGGATGGCCACACTGCAATTCCTTCTCCTCCATTCTTCTCCTGGGATCTTGGAAATACATGCACATGTACCCTGCATGAGTTTCAAGCCACCAGGTCTGGGATTTGTACCATGGTCAACCATGGGAGAGTTCAAGGACATAACTGCTATGCCATATGCTAACCCCCAAAATGGATATATCTAAATGAATGAGTGTTGTAAATAGTATATAATATCTTTATTTTCTCAACAATTTTCGTCTTAAATTTTTGTCTGATATTTGAAAGAGTCACTCTAATGCTCAGATGGTTAATGTTCACATGGAATAGCCTTTTTTCATTGCTTTACTTCCAATTTATTTGTGCCTTTGGGTATAAGATTAGTCTTTGGTAGATAACACATAATTGTATGTTTTAAAAAGTACCCATTGTGGGGCTGGCAGGTGGCATGGTGGTTAAGGGCGCTGGACCGTGGTTTGAGTCCTGGACCTGGCAGCTTGCTTTCTCACTTTCCTTCTGTCTCTCACTCTGTCCCTCTCTGGTCAAATTAAAATATATAAAATAAATAAAGTTCAATAAAATAATTTTAAAAAAAGTATTAGTGCTATTTTAAAAGTACCCATTTTCCCACCATTTGCTTTTTTATTATTTTAGTTTTCCTATAGTGCATGTGTACTTGCTAGAGAGAGACAGAGAGAGAAAGGGTAAATGAGAAATTATTTACCAGAGGGCCAGTGGGATGGCCACTTTGCAATCCCTTCTCCTTCAGTCTTGGTATTTTGGGTACACATGCCCAGCATGATTTTTCAAGCTGCCAGGCTGAGACTCAAACCACATATTCTGCCATGTGGGATCCAGTGCCTTAACCTCCAAGCCACCTGCTGACCCTGCTTTTTAATTATAATTTAATCCATTTACCATATTATAATTACTGATAAGGAATGACTTACTTTTTTTTTTTGAGAGGTTTTTCTGCTATAGGGTGCGTGCACTCGCCAGACAGACAGAGAGAGACATAGAGACAGAAAGCGAGAAATCCCGGGGGGGATGGTCACGCCGCAATCCCTTCTTTTCCATTCTCCTCTCGGGATCTTGGGCACGCACACACAGGCGCTCGGCGTGAGTTTTAAGCCACTGGGTCCAGGACGCAAACTGCCGTTGACTACGTGGGAGTCCAACGACATAGCCATTACGCTAACTGCTGGTTCCCACTTACTTTTGACATTTTGAAAAAATTTATTTTTTTTCAATGAGAGAGACAGAAATAGTAACAGAGTACTGACACTATGATCCATCCCCAGCCTCAGCCAATTGAGATCACAGACATATACATGTCTGATGTACACAGGAAGGCCTCTGGACATGAGCTAGTAACTTTCCCATGTGGGTCTACCTCACAGAGTGTTATGGTATACCATTGTACTACCAGTTACCACTTTTGACATTTAGCTATTTGTTTTCTAATATTTCCTATATAACCCCCCCCATTTCTCCATTACAGCATATTGTATTTTTATTTAATTTAATGTTTTAAGAGAGTTTTTTTTTTTCTATAGGCACATATGCTCACTGGAAAGACAGAGATAAAGAAAGTGAGAAATCACCCCCTAGGGGAGATGGCTACACCTCAATCCCTTCTCCTCCATTCTCTTGGGATCTTGGATGCATACACACATGTGCCCAGTGTGAGTTTCAAGCCACCGGGTCCAGGACTCAAACTGCAATCTCCTATGTGAGAGTCCAGTGACATAACTATTATGCCATCTGCTGATTCTGCCTCGTCTTTATTCTTTTTAAATAATTATTTTATTTAACTTTATTTGTTTATTTAATTTGACCAGAGAAGGACAGAGTGAGCGAGGGATGGGGGGGGGAGAGAGAGAGAGAGAGAAAATAAGACACCAGGTCAAGGACTTGAACCACAGTTGGCCATGTGGGAGTCCAGCACTCTTAATTATCACATCTATCTTCTGGCCCTCCTCCTTTTGTGTTTTATTAATTTATTTTGTAGTATACTATTTTGGTTCCGTTTTACTTCCTTTTCTGTATAGTTTTTAGCTATTTTTAAAAGGTTTTGGCCTTAGGGCAAGTGTACTTGCTAAAGAGAGATAGAAACAGTGAGAGGGAAAGTGAGAAATCACTTTTTGTGGCCACACCACAATCCCTTTTCCTTCATTATCCTCTTGGAATCTTGGGCACATATGCACATGTATCCAGTGTTGAATTTCAAGCCACTGGGTTTGAGACTTGAACCTTGGTCATCCATGTGGAAGTCCAGCGAGGTAACTGCTATGTTATCTGTTGGCCCATTTTTAGCTATTTTCTTAATGTTTGCTTTGAGGATTACAATTAATGTGATAATTTATCATTTCTGAGAGTATATTTCAGATTAATACCAACTTAATTTGAATAGTATCTTAGTCCATTATAGTATTGCTAAACAGAGTAATGGGTAGTGTTTGGCTCATAGAGACATTGTCCTCATGAATGGATTAATGCTATCTTGTAAGAAGGAGCAAATTCTCACTTAGGAGGAGGAGTGGACTGAGAGAAGATCCACCTTCAATGTCGGGAAGCACATTGCTAGACAAGATTGGTATGTGAGTCAGTAGACTGGGAGAGGAAGACAACCTACCTTCAATGGATGAAGGCATTATCTAATTGGCTGGGAGTGTGGGAGGAGAAAAAGAAGTTGGACGTTCTTTTTCCTTTTCCCCTCTCACTTAGTCTCTCTCTCCATGAGCTTGTCTTCTCTCTGCTTCTCTCTGCCATGTTGTGATGTAGCAGCAGAGGATGGACAGATACCAGCCCCACAACTTTGGACACCCGAACCACCAGAATTGTGAGCCAAATAAACCATTATTCTTTATAAATTATCCAGTGTCTTTGTCCATTATTGCACTGGCAAATAGAAATATCTGAAATTGGAACCAGCAGGTGGTGTAGTGGTTTAAAAGCACTGGATTTCCACATGACTGACTGCAGTTTAGACCCCAGACCTGGCGGCTTGCTCTTTCTCTCTCTCTTTCTCTGGTCAAATTAAAAAAAAAAAAAAAAGAAAGAAAGAAATTAAATAAATAAAGTTAAATAAAATAATTCTTAAAAAAAGAAATACCTGAAACTGAGGGATTTGCAAAGAATAGAGATTTTTTGATTCATGATTCTGGTGACTGGAAAGTCTAAGATGGGACCAGCATCTTGCCAGTTTCAGGTGCTATGTCACAAAATGGCTAACAGAAACAGAAGGGAGAGTGGGCATGTATGAAGAGAGAGGACACAGGATTCCCACTTCCTCTGTTTCTTCCACACCCCCAGTCAATTGGATGGTGCACTCACATTGTACCCTACTTCTTAGTGGTCTCACCTTCTCCTAAAGCCATTACAGTGAGGACCAATCTTATACAACATGAACCGTTGGGAGACCATTAGCCAAACCATAGCAACCAATTTTGGCTATTTCTGTTTAGCAACATAATAGTGGACCATGACAAGTAGTCTACAAAAGTTTTTGCTCTTATATAGCCATATAACTTCCTTTATACTATTATTGCCATAAGTTATATTTTTATATATTTTGTGCCTATCAACATAGATTTAAACTGTTTATGCAGTTATTTTTTTAATTTAAAAATATTTTTTGGTTATTTTTTGCTATGAGAAGTATGTGCTTACCAGAGACAGAGACATAGAGGCACACCCTAGGGGGTGATGGCCATGCTACAATCACTCTTTATTCTTCTCGGGATTTGGGGCATGTATGTCTATGTGCTTGGCATGTTTTTCAAGCCACTGGGTCTGGGACTTGAACTTCACAGTCAGTCACGTGGGATTCAGCCCCTTTAACCATCATGGCACCTGCTGGCCCTACAGTTGTCTTTTAAATCATATATTTATTATTATAACAATTGATAAATATTAACTATATTAAATTATTTATAGTTGTATAAATT